TCCGATTTGCGCATGCGTGTCAGGCTCGTCACGAAGGCGGCGCTGGCCGTGCTAGGAATGCCGGCGAAACGACAAACTCCCTAGCTCTCAAACGTGAGAAACGTCAGGGGAGCTGAACGGTTAGAAAAGGGCTTGTCGCCGCCTGGGGAGCCCTGCGTTTCGCGCCCCGTGGGACCTGCAGAGCTGTGTTACCCGCCGAGACACAGACGCTGGAACGTGAATGGGTTCTGTAGGTTTGAGGCGTTGGTTTGGTGCGTGACGGGGTCTCGTCAGTGAGGGGCCCTGTACTCCAGAGGGCAGCGTCGCCTCGCACTCTGGAGCTCTTTAAGCCTCCGCTCTTCCTTACCTTTCCCTTCCCGGCGGCGGAGCTCTCTACTCCGAAGCAGCAGCGGTAGGTGACAGGTCTGGTAGACAAGGAGGACCCACCCTTCTGTCATACAGCTACATCCCCGCGACAGATGTTCCTGGGGGGGCTATCGATCCAAGTTAAATGAGGAGGACCCTGCTGCCACGTTTAGTTTGATGCAGCTCTCTGTCTTTTCCGACCTCAATTCCAGTCCGGAGTACTTGGCTTGCAGGAACTTCATTTTCAAGGCAGGCAGTATTAGCAGGGCGTGCCTACCTAGCCTTAGTAATTAATAAATTCAGCCTGCCCCCCCCCCCCCCCCTTCTTTTTCCCGGTGCCATCGCTATTGTAGAGGAACTCAAACAATTGCATTTCTGGTCATCACTTGTCTCTTCAGTGGTTCCTGTCACTGATGGCTTGGCACATCTTTCCTAGCTGTGGCTGGTAGCTCGAGACGTTTTTCCCCCATGTGACAGTAGTTTGTCGCCTAGAGAGATGAACTTACCAACTACCTCCACAATTTGTCCATCAACTTGAATTTCTTCTACTTGTGATGAGATCCTAGTTTTTAACTGAGGAACATGTTCATAACTGTGTGTTTTCTGATGAAAATTCTCAGACGTTATTCACACACCAGCTGTGAAGGGTGGGTATAATCCACATCACCCAGAGTGAAAACACCAGCCCCAAGCTTTACCAGTCTTTGCATGGGTGTGTGTCGATACAAAGTTATCTCATGGTTTAAGAGGTGCAGCTGGGATGCATCCCTACCTCTGCCTAGACCTTATATGATACCAAAAAATGGGTTCTCCAATTGTACCCTGATCCTGAACTTTCTCATAGATCTTGAATTAGACCCAAGGGGGTCTAGATAGGTGGATATAATAGTGCCTCATCAAGACTTCTGTGGGACATTGCAGTTGTCAGACTCAGTGGCCACTTTGAGCCTGAAAAGGGGTGCTGTCAAAGGGAGATGGCATTTGCAATGACTCTCAGGTGAAGGACAGGGACCAAATGTCCACTGCAGGCCACTCTGCAGTGAACGTAATTCCTTGCAGCAGGACACAGCTTGGGTCTGAGGAGCTGGATCAGTTCTGATACATTACAAAGAGTTTTGTTGCAAGAAAGCTGTACCAGGGATTGACTGACAGTTCACTTATGGGAATAAACAATCTAGGGGTGTTTACATATAAGCCACAAGTATCACAGGAAAAAAGGGGCAAGTGAGAAGAAAGAAAGAAAACTCTGTAACATCAGAGATACCTTAAACAAAAAGGTGGTGGTACAAGACTTAAGGGACAGTTAGAGAAGCAGAAACAGTTGTTTATCATCTTTTTGATTCTTTAATACAAAAGGCTTCTGATGCATAGTTTGGCATGCATTACAGGGAAACAAGAGCTAGCAAAATTCACACAGGCTGTAAGCCAGTCACAAATTCTCAGCCGTAGGGCTGCCCAAGTAGAATCCTCATTCACACACATACATATGCGTGTGTGTGTGTGTGTGTATATATATATATATGGGGGGGGGCTACAAAAACTGGAAAAAGCAAGATTTACAGACAGGTTTGTGCAGATGTTTGGGAGATTTGTATGCGATAAATACTGTTTCTGCAGGGTAACTTCGGAAATGTTTGTTTTGTGTGCATTCTGCTCACTTCTCACACGCTATATAAGCAAGTAAATGTACCCACCTTGCAGTTTGTATATAGAGGTGTGGTTTGTTTTTTCCCCTGTGATTAATGGTGTTCTGTGCATGCAGAACAAAGCAAAGAGGTTTGACAGGACGGAAGGTGACTAGGTATCCGTTGTTTCTGCCAAAGCAGTTGAAATAGAATGTCTTATGGGCTGTTTTTAAATAAAGGGAAAATCTTTCCATCACTACTATAAGCATTTTTTAAATAAAGTTACTGTTATATTCAGAAAACAGTTGGATTCTGCAGTCAACCCTGCTTCAGTTTAGTATCTCGGTATGAGGGATCAAGTACACTAACTTAGTTACTCTTACAAAAACAGTGTGTGACTTGGCACCCCAGAAAAGACGTACAATCAATTTTAGCACTCAGGTAATGATTTGCTCCAAGTACATTTCTTATCACTGCACACTACATGACATTAGAATTATTATTAAAATGTCTCTGTTACTTCTATATCTGATTTAACAGAGCCTACAAGGGCAGATAATTGGGAAAGCATCAGACTTTATTGTATGTTTTCATAGTGGAAGTTATTTTATAGTGAATAATTAATGCCTTAGGAAAGATAATACTGAGTTAAGAGCATGGTCTTGATTTGATAGGACAAATCCTATTGCAGATAACACTGTTGCCTGGAATCAGATAAAGATATCATACATTCACCAGGGGAAAACAAGTGTGTTTTGGATTATCTCCATGTAGCTGAGCTTTTGCATAATTTTGTATTGTGGTAATGATTCACAGTTCAGAAAATGCTTTTTTCTTCCTTTATAAGGCTTTTTTCTGACAACACCATCAAGCATTACAGTGGTAGCATTTGTGTATACTTGTTGACTGAAGTGCTCCAAGGATAACAGTGTTTTAATAGTAACAATGTTATTGTTAAAGAAGCAAATTAATAAGTTAATTGAATCTGATTTTATTTACCTGTATATCTCCTTACAAACTAGAGGCCCACCTTTGAAGATGCTTTGAAGAAGAACTTCAAAGAAGTTAGTCTGTACTTTGTATTGAGATATGCATGCAAATAAAATCAGATTCTTCTTTCTGAAAACCCTATTCAGTTAACATGAGATGGCAAGTCAGTTCTAAAGGGTTCCAAGACAGTGATGAAAGCATCTAGTTCTTTAGCTTCTATAATTAATCTCAATGTATTTCACAGGGTGGTACCTTGTACTCATGGAAGCATGACATTACTGTAGCATCACCTTCTGAAAAAGAGCGTAGTCTGGGACATACCTGTCCATATGAAGTAAAGTAATTATTTCTGGTTTACGACTAGCAGCATAACAAGGTGCATGTGTATCTATCAGCCACCTAAATGTGCCAAACAGTGCAGCAAAGTTGAAATGATATATAAAGAAAATTAATTAACACTGGATTAATATAGATGTAGAATCATGTGGGTTAGGCACATGTGTATGCTGCTTTACAGAATGATGACAGATATGCCCTCAAGAAATGTCACTGAAAATGTGTCAACGTGTATACTTACATTGTGTCTGTCTCTATATATGCACACACTACAATTTGGCCATCTAAGTGAAGGAATATAAGCATATATAAATATTTAGACTTCTATATTATTACTGATCAGTTTCCGTCTCTCTAACATGAATAGTCCATTGAAGTCAGCACTATTACACAGGAAAGCAAGTAGTTTAAAACCTCCACCAGTATTATGTGTGTATCCAGTGTCAGCTTCCTGCAAAAAATCAATTCTTGGTTAGCTACCAAAACATTAAATATGTGACCTGCTTACAAACTAAACAAATCTTTAGCCAGAACTTGGATGTTGAATAAACCACCTCCTCAGGCCAGCAGCATGGTGATTCGGGCACCCACAACGCAGTAACGAAGGGAGGAAGGAGGGAGAACAGAAGAGACCTGCTGAATCTTGGAAAGCAGAATCTTTTTGGTTACATGTAAGCCTGCCTCTGAAGTAGGATGGCTGCTCAAAGCTTTTCCCTTCAGTTTGCCCCAGTTTCCTACCATACACCAACCTCTTTCTTTAGCTCCTTGCTAATGTCCTCCTGGGACTTTCTTGGTCAGTTTTGTTCCAGCCTTCCTCACTTCTGGAGGTGTCTACTGTTGTCGTGCCCCAGTTCCTTCTCTTTGACTAAGTATATCTTCAGTTCTCCTCTCCAGCCTTGCTTTGGCCCCTTGCTCTTATAGTCCCTCAAAGACT